CTGGGAGTGGGATCCCAGAATGGGATCTGGGGATGGGATCTGGGAATGGGATCCAGGAATGGGGTCCAGGAATGGGATGTAGGGGTGGGATCTGGAGATGGGAGCCAGGAATGGGACCCGGGAATGGGATCTGGGAGTGGGATCCAGGAATGGGATCTGAGGGTGGGAGCCAGGGGTGGGATCTGGGGATGGGATCTGGGGGTGGGAGCCAGGGACAGGATCTGGGGGTGGGAACCTGGGATCAGATCCAGGGATGGGATCCAGGGATGGGATCTGGGGGTGAGAGCCTGGGATCAGATCCAGGGATGGGATCCAGGGATGGGATTCAGGGATCAGATCCAGGGATGGGATCCAGGGATGGGATTCAGGGATCAGATCCAGGGATGGGATCCAGGGATGTCACCTCAGCACCCCCCAGTCCCTCAGGCCGCGGGAAAGGCTGAGCCAAGGAAAAAGGAGAAGAGGCAGGAGCTGAACGGGGTCAGGCTGGGGAAGGGGAGGATGCTCAGGAGCATTCCCAGGAAATCCCAAATCCCAAATCCCTCCTCAGCCTTTAGGGAAAACCTGGGAGTGCTGATTCCCTGTGCCAGGCAGGGAACGGGACAGGGACAGGGACAGGAACAGAGAGAGGGACAGGAACAGGGACACAGGGAAGGGACCGAGGGACAGGGAGGGGACAGAGTCATGGGAACAGGGACACAGGGATGGGACAGGGACACAGAGAGGGGACCCAGGGAAGGGACAGAGGGACGGGGGCAAGAGACCCAGGGACACAGGGAAGGGACAGAAACATGGGGAAGGGACACAGAGACAGGGACACAGGCATGCAGGGATGGGACAGGGACATGGGAAAGGGACGGGGACACAGAGATCCAGAGACACAGGAAAGAGACACGGACACAGGGAAATGACACAGGGACACAGAGAAGGGACAGGGACACAGGGACAGGGACACAGGGGTACAGAGAAGGGACAGGGACACAGAGAGGGGACAGGGACACAGGGAAATGACACAGGGATACAGAGAAGGGACAGGGACACAGGGACAGGGACACAGGGAGGGGACACGGGGAGTCCTCCCGGCCCACTGCCGCTCTCCGGAGCTTCACGCGTTATTTGATACCAACAATGGGACCTTGCGAACAACAATGGAATTTCGGGAACAACAATGGGACTTTGGGGACAACAATAGGACAATATCTGGGGACAATAGCGGGACCTTGGGGACAACAATGGCCCTCGGGAGGAACGGGGTGCCCCGGCCCAGCTGCTCAGTGTCCCTTTGTCCCCTCCTGGGGACACCGATCCCGTTGGAGCCGCGGGGATCCCGCAGGAGCCGCTCCCTCCCCTCCCTCTCCCTTTGGGGCCGTTTTGGGGCGTTCTCCACACGGAAACCCCAAAGGAGGGATTGGGATGGGGTTAAAGGGCCGCGGAGTTTTGGGATCGTTCCCTGCCCCGCTCCCCTCCCTAAAGCACCCAGAGAAGGAAAATGGATTTTGTCAGGGCAGGAAAGCCCAAATCCCAGCGTGGGTTGGGAATTCCAGGCTGAAGATCCCAAAGGAATCCCCCAGGGCTGGGCTGGAAAATCCCTTTGGGGTTTCTCCTTCTCGTGGGGCCACAGACAGATCTGGGGGGACAATTTGGGGTTAATTCGGGGTTTATTTGGGGTTTATTTCCCCCTCAGGAGACGGCACTGAGTTCTGCCTCCTCTGGCTGAGCCCACCCTGCAAATCCTTGGGATCCTTGGGATGGCGGATCTGTGGGATTTGGGATCCCTGGGATTTGGGATCCCTGGAATGTGGGATCCATGGGATTTTGATCTCTAGGATGTGGGATCTCTGGGATTTAGGATCTCTGAACTGTAGCATCTGTGGGGTGGGGGATCCCTGGGACTTGGGATCTCTGAGATGTGGAATCAGTGGGATTTGGGATTTCTGGGATGTGGGATCTCTGGGTCCCCAATATGGCATCTCTGGTATGGGGGAATCTGTGGGATTTGGGATCTCCAGGATTTGGGATCTCTGGGATTTAGGATCTCTGAAATGTGGGATCTCTAGAATGTGGGATCTGTGGGATTTGGGATCCCTGGGATCTGGGACATGTAGGATTTTGGATCCCTGGGATGTGGGATCACTGAGATGGGAGATTTCTGGGATTTTGCATCTCTGGCTTGTGGGATCTCCAGGATTTAGGATCTCTGAAATGTGGGATCCCTGGGATTTGGGACCTCTTGGATTTGGGATCCCTGGGATGTGAGATCTCTGGGATGGGGGATCCATGGGATTTGGGATCCATGGGATTTAGGATCTCTGAAATGTGGGATCTGTTGGATGTGGGTCTGTGGAATTTGGGATCCCTGGAATGTGGGATCCATGTGATTTGGGATCTCCGGGATTTAGGATCTCTGAAATGTGGGATCTCTGTGATGTGGGATCTGGATCCCTGGGATTTGGGATCTCTAGGATTTGGGATCTCTGGGATCCCTGGGATGGGGGGATCCATGAGATTTGGGATCTGTGGGATGTGAGATCTGTGGGATGTGGGATCCTTGAGATTTGGGATCTGTGCGATGTAGGATCTCTGCGATGTGGGATCTGGGTCCCTGGGATTTGAGATCCCTGATATGGGATCTCTGGGATGGGGGATCCATGGGATTTGGGATCTCTGAGATGAGGGATCTGTGGGATTTGGGATCTCTGGAATGTGGGATCTCTAGAATGTGGGATCTGTGGGATTTGGGATGTCTAGGATGTGGGATCTCTGGGATCTCTAGGATGGGAGATCTCCAGGATTTAGGATCTCTGAAATGTGGGATCTGTGGCATTTGGGATCTGTGGCATTTGGGATCTCTGGGATGTGGGATCTCTGGGATCTCTGGGATCTCTGGGATGTGGGATCTCTGGGATCTCTGGGATGTGGGATCTCTGGGATCTCTGGGATGTGGGATCTCTGGGATCTCTGGCATTTGGGATCTCTGGGATGTGGCTGGGATGAAGGAAGACAAACAAAGCCAAAGAATCCCCCAGAATCCCAAATCTCAGGTCCCTCCCAGCAGAATTCCAAGAGGGACGAGCTGGATGTAAAACCTTCCGAGGGAACGCTCCTAAAAAACCAAAACTGGGATTTCAGGGATTTCAGTGTGGGAAATGGGGAAAATCTCCCCCCGCCCCGAGGCACAATTCATGGCAATTGTTGTCACATCCTTCTGTGACACCAAGAAATCCCTGGGACAGCAGGAATGGCCTGGCCATGAACTGGGGATTAAATCTGGATTTTAAATCTGGATTTTGGGGCCCTTCCCACCCAAACCAGCCTGGAATCCTCTGATCCTCCCTCTACTGAAAGGAAATTTTATTTTATCAACAATTGCCCCTTCAACTTTTTAAAAGCTCATTTAGATTTTCCTTGATTTAATTATTTTTCCTAATTTTTTCATTGTTTTAATTTTTCCTGATTTTTTCCCCCTGATTTTATTTTTTCCCAATTTTCCTCATGATTTTAATTTTTTCCTCAATTTTATTTTCCCCTGATTTTATTTTTTTCCTAGATTTTTTCCCTGATTTTATTTTTTCCAGTTTTTCCCCTGATTTTAACTTTTTCCCAATGTTTTTTCCTCTGATTTTATTTTTTTCTGACTTTATTTTTTTCCGATATTCCCCCAAATTTTTTCTAATTTTTCCCTGATTTTATTTTTCCAATTTTTTCCCTGATTTCATTTTTATCTGATTTTCCCCCTGATTTTTTCCCCCTGATTTTTCCCCCTGATTAATTATGATAAAAAATGTATTCAATTCTCCATTAATAAAACAATCCAATTTTCCTGCATTTTCCCTCCTTTTGGAAGTTTTCCAGCCGAGAATTAACAAATAAAATTAACAAAATAAATTAACAAATAAAATGAACAAATAAAATACCCACACCCCAAAGGTTCATAGAAATCCCACTTTTAATCATGGACAAACTGACTTTCAAGTAAAATCAACAGTTTTAAATAAAATATAAATTACCAGAGGACCTGGAAAGACCCTGTGCACGTTCTCCTCTGCTTTTCCAGTTCTCTTCACATTCCTGGAGTTTCTGGGAGGCCTCTCCACCATTATGGAACAGAAATTTGGGATTAAAAGCAGCGACTGGTGCCACTGGGAGGGTGAAAAAGGAGGAAATCCTTCTCCCTTTTCCAAGGAAAAAAAGGAGGGAGCAGAAGTGATGGAAGCAGTTTTTTATGGAAGCACAGCATTGGATGTGAGGGATTTTCCTTCTCCATCCCAGGAGTGATTCCAGAAGGGAAAATCACAGAAAATGTCCTAAAAGGGGTTTTTTTGTTTATTTTTTCTCCTGCTTTTGGAATTTCTTGTTGTTTGAGACTCCAAAGTGAGAGCAGGGATGGAATCCAGCAAGGAAACCCAAGCTCATTCCAATCCCATTTTCTCATTTCCAATTGGGAAAATCCAATCCCAATTCTGGGATTTCAGCCTCTCCCAAACATGGGAACTCACTCCATCCCAGGAGTGATTCCAGAAGGGAAAATCACAGAAAATTTTCCTAAAAAGGTTTTTTTTCGTTTATTTTTTCTCCTGCTTTTGGAACTTGTTGTTTGAGACTCCAAAGTGAGAGCAGGGAAAGAATCCAGCAAGGAAACCCAAGCTCATTCCAATCCCATTTTCCCATTTCCAATTGGGAAAATCCAATCTCAGTTAAGGGATTTCAGCCTCTCCCAAACATGGGAACTCACTCCATCCCAGGAGTGATTCCAGAAGGGAAAATCACAGAAAATGTCCTAAAAGGGTGGTGGTTTTTTTTGTTTTGTTTTTTTTTGCTTTTGGAACTTTTTGTTGTTTGAGACTCCAAAGTGTGAGCAGGGATGGAATCCAGCAAGGAAAATCCAAGCTCATTCGAATCCCATTTTCCCATTTCCAACTGGGAAAATCCAATCCCAATTCTGGGATTTCAACCTCTCCCAAAGGTGAGAACTCAACTCATCCTCTCCTGCACACCCCCAAGTGCAACATTCCCAACAAATTCTTTTTTTTTTTTTTGGCATTTTTCTCTCATCACCCCCACTCCCCTGGAACTCCCAAGCCTGCCCGGAATTCCCAACTCCCGCTTCTCCAAAAGGGGCAAAAAAACGAGGAACCCTGAGGCAAAAATGGCTTTTTTCTGCGAGTGTGTGTGGGTGAACGCTGCACCTGGAGCCCTAGCCCGGGATTTTCTGCGGGGGGAGCCCCTCGGGCAGCCACAGGGGCGGGGAGGCGGCGCCGGGCGGGAGCAGCCGGCGGTGGATGCGGCGCAGGCGGAGCAGGTAGAGCAGGATGGAGAGCAGCACCACCAGGAAGCAGGCCAGGAACAGATAGTGGTTGTAGACGAAGGAGAAGCTCCTCCAGTGGGAGTGAATGCCACGGAAATTCTCCTGCTGGATGTCCCTGGAAGAGAGCACAGGGACAATGGGCATGGCTTAGAGGGAAAGTTCTCTTCCAACCTGGTGGGAATCAGAGCTCATTGGGTGGAATAAACTCTAAAAAACACAAGTTGAGGCTGTAAAAACCACAAGCTGAGGCTCTAAAAATCACAAATTCCCATCCATAAAATTCCTCTCCCAAAGGCTTTTCCCAGATTTTTGAGAGGATGTCCCTGGAAAAGAGCAGAAGAACAATGGCCATGTCTAAGAGGCCACGTTCTGCTTCCAACCTGGTGGGAATCAGAGCTCATTGGGTGGAACAAGCTCTAAAAAACACAAGCTGAGGCTCTAAAAACCACAAGCTCTAAAAACCACAAATTCCCATCCCTACAATTCCCCTCTCAAAGGCTTTTCCCAGATTTTTGAGAGGGTGTCCTTGGAAAAGCGCAGAGGGACAACAGGCACGTTTTAGAGACGAAGTTCCACTGCCAACTTGGTGGGAATCAGAGCTCATTGGGTGGAATAAGAAGAAAAGCACAAGTTGAGGCTCTAAAAGCCAGAAATTCCCATCCCAAAATCCTCTCCCAAAGGCTTTTCCCAGATTTTTGAGAGGATGTCCCTGGAAAAGAGCAGACACACTCTGGAGGAAAAATTCCACTTCCAACTGGGCTCAGGGCAGGAATCAGGGCCCATTTTGAGGAACAGGATCTAAAATGCTCAGGTTGAGGCTCTAAAAACCACAAGTTCCCATCCCCAATATTCTCTCCCAAAGGCTCTTCCCAGATTTTTGAGAGAATGTCCCTGGAAAAGAGCAGAGGGACAACAGCCATGTCTTAGAGGCAAAAGTCTACTGCCAGCTTGGTGAGAATCAGAGTTCATTTGGTGGAATAAGCTCTAAAAACCACAAGTTGAGGCTCAAAAAAGCAAAAGTTTAGGGCTCTAAACACCACAAGTTCCCATTCCCAAAATCCTCCCAAAGGCTTTTCCCAGATTTTTGAGAGGACATCCCTGGAAAAGAGCTGAAACACTCTGGAGGCAAAATTTCACTTCCAACTGGGCTCACAGCAGAAATCAGAGCCCATTTTGGGGAACAGGATATAAAAAGCACAAGTTGACACTCTAAAAAGCACAAGCTGAGGCTCTAAAAAGTACAAATTTCCATCCCTAAAATTCCCCTCCCAAAGGCTTTTCCCAAATTTTTGAGAGGATGTCCCTGGAAAAGAGCAGAATAACCATGGCCATGTCTAAGAGGCCACACTCTGCTTCCAACCTGGTGGGAATCAGAGCTCATTGGGTGGAATAAGCTCTAAAAAACACAAGTTGAGGCTCTACAAAGCACAAATTCCCAACCCCAAAATTCCCCTCCCAAAGGCTTTTCCCAGATTTTTGAGAGGATGTCCCTGGAAAAGAGCAAAGGGACAACGGCCATGTCTTAGAGGCGAAGTTCCATTTCTAACTTGGTGAGAATCAGAGCTCATTTGGTGGAATAAGCTCTAAAAAGCACTAGTTGAGGCTCAAAAAAGCAAAAGTTTAGGATCTAAAAACCACAAATTCCCATCCTCAAAATCCTCTCCCAAAGGCTTTTCCCAGATTTTTGAGAGGGTGTCCCTGGAAAAGAGCAGAGGGAAAACGGCCACGTCTTAGAGGCAAAGTTCCGCTTCTAACTTGGTGCTCATTGGGTGGAATAAGCTCTAAAAAAGCACAAGTTGAAGCTCTAAAACCACAAGTTCCCATTCCCAAAATCCTCTCCCAAAGGCTTTTCCCAGAATTTTGAGAGAATGTCCCTGGAAAAGAGCAGAGGGACAATGGCCATGTCTTAGAGGCAAAAGTCTACTGCCAGCTTGGTGGGAATCAAAGCTCATTTAGTGGAATAAGAAAAAAAGCACACGTTGAGGCTCAAAAAACCACAAATTCCCATCCTCAAAATCCTCTCCCAAAGGCTTTTCCCAGATTTTTGAGAGGATGTCCCTGGAAAAGAGCAGAGAGACAACAGCCACACTTTGGACACCAAATCCCACTTCCAACGTGGCTCAGGGCAGGAATCCGAACCCGTTTTGGGGAGGAGGCTCTAAAAACCCCAATTTGAGGGATCTCCACCTCTTCCCAGCCCACAATTCTCCTTCCCAGAGCTCTCCCGGGTCCCTGGGGTACCTGAGGGGCAGGAAGCGGGTGCGGTAGAGGATGGCCCCCAGCGTCCACTGCACCTCCTTGTCGTAGACCTGCAGCGCCGTCTTCAGGCTCCCGTAGCTCTCCGGGAAGGAAAAGCCCCGGTGGAAAACCTCGAACATCCAGGCAGACTTAAAGCACTGGAACCTGGGGAGAGCAGTGGGGTCAGCCAGGAAATGTGGGGTCAGGGACAGTGGGGTCAGCCAGGAAATGTGGGGTCAGCCTGGAAATGTGGGATCCGTCAAGGATAGTGGGATCAGGCAAGAAATGTGGGGTCAGCCAGGAGAAATGGGATTTGAGACAGTGGGATCAGCCAGGAAATGTGGGATCAGTCAAGGACAGTGGGATCAGCCCAGAAAGATGGGATCTGGGACAGTGGGGTCAGTCAGGAAATGTGGGGTCAGGGAAATGTGGGATGAGCCCGGAAAAGTGGGATCAGTCAAGGACAGTGGGATCTGTCAGGAAATGTCGGGTCAGCCTGGAAATGTGGGGTCAGTTAGGAAATGTGGGATCCGTCAAGGATAGTGGGATCAGGCAGGAAATGTGGGATCAGCCAGGAGAAATGGGATCTGGGACAGTGGGGTCAGCCAGGAAAAGTGGGATCAGCCAGGAGAAATGGGATCTGGGACAGTGGGGTCAGCCAGGAAGGGTGGGGTCAGTCAGGAAATGTGGGGTCAGGGAAATGTGGGATCAGCCAGGAAAAATGGGATAAGGGACAGTGAGATCAAGCAGGGAAAGTGGGATCAGCCAGGAAACGTGGAATCAACCAGGAAACATAGGATCAAGGACAACAGGATCAGGCAGGAAATGTAGGATCAGCCAGGAGAAATGGGATCAGGGACAGTGAGGTCAGTCAGGAAACATGGGATCAGTCAAGGACAGTGGGATCAGGCAGGGAGCAGTGGGATCAGTCAGGAAAAATGGGATCAGGCAGGAAAGATGGGATCTGGGAATGTGGGGTCAGCCAGGAAAAGTGGAATCAGCCAGGAGAAATGGGATCAGGGACAGTGAGATCAGGCAGAAAATGTGGGATCAGTCAAGGACAGTGGGATCAGGCAGGGAGCAGTGGGATCAGGAGCAGTGGGATCAGGCAGAAAAAATGGGATCAGTCAGGAAAAATGGGATCAGCCCAGAAAGATGGGATCAGGGACAGTGGGGTCAGTCAGGAAATGTGGGATCAGCCCAGGAAAATGGGATCAGGGACAGTGGGATCAGCCAGGAAATGTGGGATCAGTCAAGGACAGTGGGATTAGGCAGGAACAGTGGGATCAGGAACAGTAGGATCAGCCAGGAAAAAATGGGATCAGGGACAGTGGAGTCAGCCAGGAAAAATGGGATCAGCCAGGAAATGTGGAATCAGGCAGGAAACATGGGATCGGGGACAGTGGGATCAGTGAAGGAGAACGGGATAAGCTCAGCTCAGCATTACAGCAATTGCAGGGCAGAATGAAACATGGAATTCTCAGCTTTTCCATGTTTTTTTCCCACTTCCAGTGGTCCCATGAAACAGAAAGGCCCTGGCAGTTCTGGGTGGGATTAGTCAGGAACAGTGGGATCAGTTAAGGACATTGGGATAAGCTCAGCTCAGAATTCCAGCGACCCAGGGCACAATTAAATCTAGAATTCTCAGCTTTTCCAAGGGTTTTTTGTCACAATTTTCAGGTCTTTCCCAAGCTTTCTTCCCACTTCCAGTGATCCCACGAAACAGAAAGGCCCTGGCAGTTCTGGGTGGGATTAGTCAGAACAGTGGGATCAGTGAAAGAAAACAGGAAAAGCTCAGCTCAGCATCCCAGCGCCCGCGGGGCACAATTAAATCTGGAATTCTCAGCTTTTCCAAGGGATTTTTTTCGCAATTCTCAGGCCTTTCCCAAGTTTTTTTCCCACTCCCAGTGATCCACCAAAGGGACAGGCCTGGCAGGACAAAGTTCCTGGCCAAAGCCAAGCCCAAAGCCCAAAGCCCAGCCCAAAGCCCAGCCCAGCCCAAAGCCCAGCCCAAAGCCCAGCCCAAAGCCCAAAGCCCAAAGCCAAGCCCAAAGCCCAAAGCCCAGCCCAAAGCCCAAAGCCCAAAGCCCAGCGCAAAGCCCAGCCCAAATCCAAGCCCAAAGCCCAGCCCAAAGCCCAAAGCCCAAAGCCCAAAGCCCAAAGCCCAAAGCCCAAAGCCCAGCCCAAGCCCAAAGCCCAAAGCCCAGCGCAAAGCCCAGCCCAAATCCAAGCCCAAAGCCCAGCCCAAAGCCCAAAGCCCAAAGCCCAAAGCCCAAAGCCCAGCCTAACCCCACCCCGCTCACTTGAGCCGGTGCAGATCCGCGTGGGGCGCGTAGAGGCCGCGCTCGAAGCGTTCCCGCAGCACCGACCACCGGGTGGCACAATAATCCTGCAGGGAATCAAAAAATGGAAAAAGGGAATGATCCCAGCGCTCCTCCCGCCTGGAGAAGGAAAATCCCACCTGAAAAAATGATCTGAAACATCAAAAACCAGAAAGTAACAGCAGCTTGCACTGCCAGTGAGGAAAATCACAAATTTTGTGGGAATATTTTGATGCACACGTGGAATTAGGGGTGGAATTAAAGTTCAGCTCTCTGGGAATATTCAGTAAGGAAAATCCCAAACTTCAGGGGAATATTTTGATCCAGACTTGGAATTTGGGGTGGAATTAATGTTCAAATCTTGGAATTTGAGATGGAATTAAACTCTTGGAATTTGGGGTGGAATTAATGTTAAACTGATCCCTTTTTTTCATCTCAGCAGCTTTAGCAAATTTAGGAATTCTTATGGAATTTGTGATTTCATAAGGAATTTGAGATCTCTTAAGGAACAGCTCTGCTGCAGGACCTTGGGAACAAAATCCTTATGGACACATGGTCTAAATTAGGGATTTATCCCCATTTTTCACTTGTGCAGCTTCAGTGAATTTAGGAATTTGGGATCCCTTAAGGCAATCCCTTTTGTTTCAGGAATTTGGGAACAAAATCCTTATGGAGAGATGACTTAAATGAAGGAATTGATCCCTTTTCTTTCACCTGTGAAGTTTAAGTGAATTTATGAAGGTAGGATCTCTCAAGGCAGTGTTTTGCTGCAGGACTTTGGGAACAAAATCCTTGTGGAGAGATGTTTTAAATTAGGAATTGATCCCCATTTTTTCACCTGTGCAGTTTCAGTGAATTTAGGATCTGTTAAGGCAATGTTTTCCTGCAGGACTTTGGGAATAAAACCCTCATGCAGAGCTGTTCTAAGTTATGAACTGATCCCCTTTCTTTCACCTGCACAGTTTCAGTGAATTTATGAATTTGAGATCTGTTAAGGCAATGTTTTCCTGCAGGATTTAGGAAACAAAATCCTTGAGGGTGTTCTAAATTAAGAATTGATCCCTTTTTTCACCTGTGCAGCTTCAGTGAATTTAGGGTCTCTCAAGGCAATGTTTTCCTGCAGGACTGTGAGACTCAATCCCTCATGGGATCTATTCTGAGTCAGTCCTGATCCTGTTTTCCCACCTGTGCAGCCCTGGTGAATTTATCAATTTAGGGTCTCTTAAGGAAGAGTTTTCCCGCAGGACTTAGGGAATCAATCCCTCCTGGAAGTGTTCTGAGTTCAACCCGATCCCATTTCCCCACCTGTGCAGCTCTGGTGAATTTATGAACGTGAGATCTCTTAAGGAAGAGTTTTCCTGCAGAACTTAGGGACTCAATCCCTCATGGAAGCCATTCTGAGTTCGACCCGATCCCATTTCCCCACCTGCGCAGCTCTGGTGAATTTATGAATGTGGGATCTCTTGAGGCAATGCTTTCCTGTAGGCCTGTGGGAATCAATCCCTCATGGGAGCTGTTCTGAGTCAGACCCGACCCCGTTTCCCCACCTGTGCAGCTTCAGTGAATTTATGAATTTAGGATCTCTTAAAGCAAAGTTTGTCTGCAGGATTTAGGGAATCAAACCCTTATGGAGAGCTGTTCTAAATTAGGAATTGATCCCCTTTTACACTTGTGCAGCTTTGGTGAATTTATCAATTTAGGGTCTCTTAAGGCAATGCTTTCCTGCAGGCCTGTGGGACTCAATCCCTCATGGGAGCTGCTCTGAGTCAGACTCGACCCCGTTTCCCCACCTGCGCAGCTTCAGTGAATTTACGAATTTAGGATCTCTTAAGGCAATGTTTTTCTGCAGAACTTAGAGAATCAATCCCTCATGGAAGCCGTTCTGAGCCAGCCCTGCCCCCGTTTCCCCACCTGTGCAGCTTTGGTGAACCGGGCCGCGCTGTAGTCGCCGCCCATGCGCAGCACGTCCTCGGTGCAGTAGTAGAACTCGGAGAAGCCGTAGAACTCGCTGCTCTGCAGGTGCAGGGGGGGCTGTGAGACGCCGTTCAGGGAGCTCCCGGTGCCGTTGGTTCGGTTCAGCAGCGGCCGCAGCCGCTCCCGGCACAGCTGGAAGTCGCCGGTGCCGCGCAGCTGCAGCCGCAGCCCCCGGTGCCGCAGCTCGTCCTGCGCGTCCCGCGGCAGGCACGGGTCCGGGATGGGGGCCTGAGGGCTCTGCCTGGGGAGAGATCGGCAAAGCCTGGCTCAGCAAGGCCTGGATCAGCAAAGCCTGGCTCAGCAAGGCCTGGCTCAGCAAGGCCTGGCTCAGCAAGGCCTGGATCGGCAAAGCCTGGCTCAGCCCGGTGCCGCAGCTCGTCCTGCGCGTCCTGCAGCAGGCACGGGTCCGGGATGGGGGCCTGAGGGCTCTGCCTGGGGAGAGATCGGCAAAGCCTGGCTCAGCAAGGCCTGGATCAGCAAAGCCTGGCTCAGCAAGGCCTGGCTCAGCAAGGCCTGGATCGGCAAAGCCTGGCTCAGCCCGGTGCCGCAGCTCGTCCTGCGCATCCTGCAGCAGGCATGGGTCTGGGACGGGGGCCTGAGGGCTCTGCCTGGGGAGAGATCGGCAAAGCCTGGCTCAGCAAGGCCTAGCTCAACCCAGCCAGGCCTGCCTGGGACAGGGAGAGAGATCAGCTAGGTCCAGCTCAGCCCAACCTGCCTGGGGACAGAGATCAGCAAAGTCTGGCTCAGCAAGGCCTGGCTCAGCTCAGCACGGCCCAGTCGGCCTGGGAGAGAGATCAGCAAAGCCTGGCTCAGCCCAGCCTGCCTGGGACAGAGGCAGAGATCAGCCAGGCCCAGCTCAGCCAGGCCTGGCTCAGCAAGGCCCGGCTCAGTCCAGCCTGCCTGGGACAGACAGAGATCAGCCAGGCCCAGCTCAGCCTGCCCACCCTGGGATAGGCAGAGAGATCAGCTAGGCCCAGTTCAGCAAGGCCTAGCTCAGCCTGGTCTGCCTGGGGAGAGAGATCAGCAAAGCCTGGCTAAGCCAGGCCCTGCTCAGCCTGGGATAGTGAGAGAGATCAGCAAGGCCCGGACTGCCTGCCCAGCAGCCTGGGGAACAGAGAGAGCTCAGCCGACCTTGGACACTCCCAAGGTTCCAGGGGCAGCCACAGCTGCTTGGGGAATTCCATTCCAGCCCCTCACCACCCTCATATTGGGAATTCCTTCCATAAATCCAATGTAAATTCTCACTTTTTCAGCTGGCTCCAGCTTCTGAGGAAGAATCCCTCCTCTACTGCCCAGATTTTCCCATCCCACAACAGATATGCCACGATCTCTCCACAACATCCAGGATCATTCCCACCTTTCCAGGACCACCACCCCAGTCTGCTTCAACCTGGCCTTAAGCACTTCCAGGGATCCAGGGGCAGCCACAGCTTCTCTGGGAATTCCATCCCAGCCCCTCACCACCCTCATATTGGGAATTCCTTCCCAAAATCCAACCTTAACTTCAGTTTGACCTCATTACTCCAACTCCTGAGGGGAATCCCTCTCCACTTCCCAGATTTTCCCTTCCCACACCAGACATGCCGTGATCTCTCCACACAACATCCAGAATCATTCCCACCTTTCCAGGACCACCTTCCACCACCCCAGGCTGCTCCAAGCTGACCTTCCCAGGGATGGAGCGGCCACAGCTCCTCTGGGAATTCCATCCCAGTCTTTCACCACCCTCATATTGGGAATTCCTTCCTGAAATCCAACCTAAACTTCAGTTTGACCCCATTACTCCAATTCCTGAGGGGAATCCATCTCCATTTCCCAGATTTTCCCTTCCCACACAACACCCAGGATCACTCCCACCTTTCCAGGACCCCATGCAGCTCCAGGCTGGTCCTCCCAGGGATGGAGCAGCCACAGCTTCTCTGGGAATTCCATTCCATCCCCTTCACCACCCTCATATTGGGAATTCCTTCCCGAAATCCAACCTGAACTTCAGTTTGACCCAATGCTCCAACTCCTGAGGGGAATTCCTCTCCACTTCCCAGATTTTCCCTTCCCGCACTGGAAGTGCCGTGATCTCTCCACACAACATCCAGAATCATTCCCGTCTTTCCAGGACCACCTTCCCCTATCCCAGGCTGCTCCAAGCTGGCTTTGGACACTCCCAGGGATGGAGCGGCCACCAGCTGCTCTGGGAATTCCATCCCAGTCTTTCACCACCCTCATATTGGGAATTCCTTCCATAAATCCAATGTAAATTCTCACTTTTTCAACTGACTCCGACTCCTGAGGAGGAATCCCTCTGCAGTTCCCTTCCCACACCAGACATGTCATGATCTCTCCACATAACATCCAGGATCATTCCCATTTTTCCAGGACCATGACCTCAGGCTGCTCCAAGCTGACCTTGGACACTCCCAGGGATGGAGCTTCTCTGGGAATTCCATTCCATCCCCTTCACCACCCTCATATTGGGAATTCCTTCCCGAAATCCAACCTAAACTTCAGTTTGACCTCATTACTCCAACTCCTGAGCAGGAAACCTTCTCCAGTTTCCAGATAATCCCTTCCCACACTGGAAGTGCTGTGATCTCCACACAGCACCCAGGATCACTCCCACCTTTCCAGGACCCCAGGCAGCTCCAGGCTGTCCCTCCCCCATCCCATGGATCCCTGTACCTGTTCCTGAGCAGGCTGCTGGAGAACAGGCTCTCCTCGTAGCGCCGGCGCGCGGCGTTGCCGCCGAAGCCCAGGAAGGTGGCCACGTACACGCGGTACACGTGCTCCGTCTGGTGCGCGTCACAGCCCAGGTTCACCTCGGCCAGCAGGCTCTTGGCCACCTCCTCCTGCAGCAGCAAAATCGGGGATCACTGCCATGGTTCTGAACCCAAAATGAGTTTTTTGGGATGTCTTGGACACCTCTAATTTCACCCATTTCTTTCGTGCTTCCCTCTCCTGTCTGTGTGTCCTGTGTTCTGGATAAAGGATATTCCCGTGGGATCGTGGAGGTTGGAGAAGATCTTGAAGATCATCAATCCAACAGAAAAATCAGGAATCACTGAGATGATCCTGATCCAAAAATGAATTTTTTGGGATGTCTTGGACACCTCTAATTTCACCCCTCACCCAACTCTGTGCTTCCTGTGCTCTGGATAAAGGATGTTCCCACATGGAGGTGATCTGCTTGGAAAAGATCTTGAAGATCATCAATCCAACAGTGAAATCAGGAATCATTGGGACGGTCCTGATCTGAAAATGAATTTTTTTGATGTCTTCGACACCTCTAATTTCACCCCTCACCCAACTCTGCTTCCTGCACTCTGGATAAAGAATATTCCCATGGCATCGTGGAGGAAAAGATCTTGAAGATCATCAATCCAACAGCAAAATCAGGAATCATTGGGATGGTCCTGATCCAAAAATGAATTTTTTTTGATGTCCTGGACACCTCTAATTTCACCCACTTCTTTAATGCTTTTCTGTCTGTGCTTCCTGCACTCTGGATAAAGGATATTCCCACAGCATCATGGAGGTGTTCTGGTTGGAAAAGACCTTGTAGATCATAAAAATCATCAATCCAATGGCAAAATCAGGAATCACTGGGATGGCCCTGATCCAAAAATGAATTTTTTGAATGTCTTGGACACCTCTAATTTCACCCATCTCTTCCACATCGTGGATGTGCTCTGCTTGGAAAAGATCTTGAAGATCTTAAGAGGAGCTAAAATGAGCCCTGGAGGGGGGAGGCAAGGCAAGGCTTACATTTTGGGGCACCTCGTAGGCGATCTGCGTGGAGACCCCGCCCATGTCCAGGATCCCCACGGTTCTCTTGCGGAAAATGGGATCGTGGTGCTCGCTGCCAGGGACCTCCACCACGGCCTCATCCTCTGGGAAAAAATGGGAAAAATTCATGGAAAATAGGTTAAAATCCCTGTGCTCGCTGCCAGGGACCTCCACCACGGCCTCATCCTCTGGGAAAAAATGGGAAAAATTCATGGAAAATAGGTTAAAATCCCTGTGCTCGCTGCCCAGGACCTCCACTATGGCCTCATCCTCTGGGAAACACAGAAAAATCCATGGGAATAGGTTAAAATCAATGGGAAATGGAGAAAAATCCATGGGAATAGGTTAAAATCAATGGGAAATGGAGAAAAATCCATGGGAATAGGTTAAAATCAATGGGAAACACAGAAAAATCCATGGGAATAGGTTAAATTCAATGGGAAATAGAGAAAAATCCATGGAAAGAGGTTAAAATCATGGGAAACACAGGAAAATCCATTGGAATAGGTTAAAATCAATGGGAAACACAGAAAAATCCATGGGAATAGGTTAAAAGCCCTGTGCCCGCTGCCCAGGGACCTCCACCATGGCCTCATCCTCTGGAAAAAATGGGAAAAATTGATGGGAAATAGGTAAAAATCCCTGTGATCACTGTCTGGGACCTGCACCTCCACCACGGCCTTATCCTCTGGGAAAAAATGGGAAAAATCCATGGAAAATAGGTTAAAATCCCTGTGCTCGCTGCCCAGGACCTCCACTATGGCCTCATCCTCTGGGAAACACAGAAAAATCCATGGGAATAGGTTAAAATCAATGGGAAATGGAGAAAAATCCATGGGAATAGGTTAAAATCAATGGGAAATGGAGAAAAATCCATGGGAATAGGTTAAATTCAATGGGAAATAGAGAAAAATCCATGGAAAGAGGTTAAAATCAATGGGAAACACAGAAAAATCCATGGGAATAGGTTAAATTCAATGGGAAATAGAGAAAAATCCATGGAAAGAGGTTAAAATCATGGGAAACACAGGAAAATCCATGGGAATAGGTTAAAATCAATGGGAAACACAGAAAAATCCATGGGAATAGGTTAAAAGCCCTGTGCCCGCTGCCCAGGGACCTCCACCATGGCCTCATCCTCTGGGAAAAAATGGGAAAAATCCATGGAAAATAGGTTAAAATCAATGGGAAATAGAGAAAAATCCACGGGAATCGGTTAAAATCAATGGGAAACACAGAAAAATCCATGGGATTAGGTTAAAATCAATGGGAAACACAGAAAAATCCATGGGAATAGGTTAAAATCAATGGGAAATGGAGAAAAATCCATGGAAAATAGGTTAAAATCCCTGTGCTCGCTGCCCAGGGGCCTCCACCATGGCCTCATCCTCTGGGAAACACAGAAAAATCCATGGGAAAATGGGAAGAATCCATGGGAAATATTTGGGAAATAGGGAATCCATGGGAAATGGGCTAAAATCCCTGTGCCTGCTGCCTGGGACCTGCACCTCCACCACGGACTCATCCTCTGGGAAAATCAATGGGAAAATGGGAAAAATCCCTGTGATCACTGCCCTGGACCTGCACCTCCACCACGGCCTCATCTTCTGGAAAAACATGGGAAAAGTCAATGGGAAAGTCGGAAAAATCAATGGAAAAAAATATTTTCCATTGGGGAAAATCAATTTCCATTTTTCCATTGATTTCTATTTCCACAGGGCAAAAATTAGTGGGAAAAATCAATGGGAAATAGGGAAAAATCCCTGTGATCACTGACATGGATCTGAACCTCCACCATGGCCTCATCCTCTGGGAAAACATGGGAAAAGTCAATGGGATACAAGGAAAAATCAATGGGAAATGGGGAAAAATCCCTGTGATCACTGCCCTGGACCTGCACCTCCACCACGGCCTCATCCTCTGGGAAAACATGGGAAAAGTCAATGGGAAAGTGGGAAAAATCAATGGGAAACAGGGAAAAATCAGTGGGAAATAGGGAAAAATCCCTGTGCTCACTGCCCAAGACCTGCACCTCCACCACGGCCTCATCCTCTGGAAAAATCACTGGGAAAATGGGGAAAATCCATGGGAAATAGGGAAAAATCCCTGTGATCACTGCCATGGACCTTCACCTCCACCACGGCCTCATCCTCTGGGAAAATCAATGGGAAAGAGGGAAAAATCAGTGGGATACAGGGAAAAATCCCTGCGCTCTCTGCCCAGGACCTACACCTCCACTACTGCCTCATCCTTGGGGAAAAATGGGAAAAGTCAATGGGAAATAGGGAAAAATCCCTGTGCTCGCTGCCAGGGACCTCCACCACAGCCTCATCCTCTGGGACAAATGGGAAAAATTCATGGAAAATAGGTTAAAATCAATGGGAAATAGAGAAAAATCCATGGAAAATAGGTTAAAATCCCTGTGTGCTCGCTGCCCAGGACCTGCACCTCCACCACGGCCTCATCCTCTGGGAAAAATCAATGGGAAACAGGGAAAATCAATGGGAAAAATCACTGGGGAACTGGGAAAAATCCCTGCACTTCTGGCCTGGGACCTGCACCTCCACCATGGCCTCATCCTCTGGGAAAAAATGGGAAAAGTCAAGGGGATACAGGGAAAAATCAATGGGAAATGCAGAAAAATCAGTGGGAAATAGGGAAAAGATCAATGGGAAACTGGGGAAAAATCAGTGGGAAATAGGGAAAAGATCAATGGGAAACTGGGGAAAAATCAGTGGGAAATAGGGAAAACTCCTGGGGATCCAACCCAACCCAACCTCTGCAGCAGCTGCCAACATCTGGCTGGAACTGCATCTCAACATCTGGAAATTAAATTCCCATGGGTGGAATTGCATCCCAGCATCTGGAAGTGCAACTCCTATGGCTGGAACTGCATCTCAACATCTGGAAGTGCAACTCCCACAACTGGAACTGCTTCCCAACATCTGGAAGTGCAACTTCCATGGCTGGAATTGGATCCCAACATCTGGCTGGAACTGCATCCCAACATCTGGCAATGCAATTCCCATGGCTGGAGCTCTTTCCCAACATCTGGAAATGCAACTCCCATGGCAGGAATTGGATCCCAACATTTGGCTGGAACTACATCCCAACATCTGGAGTGCAACTCCCATGGCTGGAATTGCTTCCCAACACCTGGAAATTAAATTCCCATGGCTGGAATTGGATCCCAGCATCTGGCTGGAACTGCTTCCCAACATCTGGAAATTCAATTCCCATGGGTGGAATTGCATCCCAACATCTGGAAGTGCAACGCCTATGGCTGGAACTGCTTCCCAACATCTGGCTGGAACTGCATCCCAACATCTGGAAATTCAATTCCCATGGGTGGAATCGCTTCCCAACATCTGGCTGGAATTACAGTCCAACATCTGGAAGTGCAACTCCCCTGGTTGGAATTGCTTCCCAACACCTGGAAATTAAATTCCCATGGCTGGAACTGGATCCCAACATCTGGCTGGAACTGCTTCCCAACATCTGGCAATGCAATTCCCATGTCTGGAATTGCAGCCCAACATCTGGAAGTGCAATTCCCATCCCAACATCTGGAATTGCATCCCCTGGAGCCCCCAGCCCCCCTCGGATCCTCACCATCGTCCGTGTGCTCGAATCTCCCGAGGACAAAGTTGATCCCAATCCATGCATAGACTCCTGCAGGAGGAAATGAAACACATCTGGAATTCCAGGAATATCAGGAATTGCTGGATGGTGGACTTGAAAGCAGATTGAAACATTTCATTTGTTGCTCATCTTTATTTTGTAAAATTGTAGAAGTTAAACATTCCTGGGAAATCATCAATTCCCTCAGGGACTCCTGATGATTTTCCCCTCTCCCAGGTCAATGCCATGACAAAATTCCTGGCCGAATGAATTAAAGACACTTCGATGTGTGAAATCCAGGAAAGAATCGAAGGAAATGAAATTTTAAAGGGATTTTAAGGCTCTGGTGATCCCACCAAAATATCTCTGCTTTTAAATCATCTCAGGCTGCAAAGTTCCTTCCATCAGGAATGTTGGGATTTGTCCTTCCCCTCCCTCTACAGGAAATGGATTCAGTGCCAGTAAATTTTCAGGCATGATCAGCAAAGATTTGGCCAATCAGGATTTGAAAAAGCAACAAAAACACCCCAAGTATTCCCTTGGAAATCCCAAATATTTTCCAGCAATAAAAATATCCCAAAGCATCCCTTGGAAATATTTTCCAGATTCAGTTCCATTAGAAGAAATCCTAAATATTTTCCAGATTGAAATCCATTAATTTTTCAGGGATAATCAGCAAACATTTGGTCAATCAGGATTTGAAAAAGCAACAAAAATACCCCAAGTATTCCCTTAGAAATCCCAAATATTCTCCAGATTCAGTTCCATTGGAGGAAATCCTAAATATTTTCCAGATTGAATTCCAGTAATTTTCAGCAAAGATCTGGCCCATCAGGAGGCCAGAGGAACAAAGGAATATTCCAGAAGAACAAAGAAATATTCTTTTCCTGAGGAATGAAGGCTCTCAAGCAAAGCAGGATTTGAAAGAGCAACTAAAATTCTCCAAATCATCCCTTGGAAATCCCAAATATTCTCCAGATTCAATTCCATTTGAGGAAATCCTAAATATTTTCCAGATTGAAATCCAGTAAATTTTCAGGGATGATCAGCAAAGATTTGACCAATCAGGATTTGAAAAAGCAACAAAAACACCCCAAATACTCCCTTGGAAATCCCACGTTTTTTTCAGATTCAGTTCCATTAGAGGAAATCCTAAATATTTTCCAGATTGAATTTCAGTAAATTTTCAGGGACAGTCAGCAAAGATTTGGCCCATCAGGAGCTCCAGAGGAACAAAGGAATATTCCAGAGGAAGGAACAAAGGAATATTCCTCTCCTGAGGAACAAAGGCTCTCAAGCAAAGCAGGGTTTGAAAAACCAATAAAAATACCCCAAATAATCCCCTGGAAATTCCAAATATTTTCCAGATTCAATTCCAGTAAATTTTCAGGGATAATCAGCAAAGATTTGGCCTTTGGCCCATCAGGAGCTCCAGATCTCACACTCCAGATCTCCTGAGGAACAAAGGCTCTCAAGCAAAGCAGGATTTGAAAAAACAATTTAAAAATACCCCAAATCATCCCTTGGAAATCCCAAATATTTTCCAGATTCAATTCCAGTAAATTTTCAGGGATAATCAGCAAAGATTTGGCCCATCAGGAGGCCAGAGGAACAAAGGAATATTCCAGAAGAACAAAGGAATATTCCTCTCCTAAGGAATAAAGGCTCTCAAGAAAAACAGGATTTGAAAATCCAACTAAAAAATACCCCAAATTATCCCCTGGAAATCCCAAATATTTCCCAGTCACTCTCCCAAGGCTCACCTACCTTCCTGCTTGCCAGAAATCACCTCAGCGTGGGAGTCAGAGAAGAGGAAATCGAAGTGCACGGGGATGTCTGTGAGCAGATCCTCCAGGATGGCTTTCTGCTGGCTGCAAAATTCCACAAAAAATTTCATTAAAGCAACCCCAAAAAACCTGGAGCTGTTCCCTGCTGGAAATATCCTTTATCCAGACCCTCTGGAGTGCAGGAAGCACAGTTAGGAGAGGAGATAATGGAGAAATTCCATGTTTCTCCCAGTACCTGGCTTGATTTTCATCATCACCTTTTCCTGTTGCTGTCCCATGGAAAATCCTCTCCCTCCTGCCCCATTCCAGACTTAAACTCCTACAAATCAACCCCAAAGAAACCTGGAGTGTTCCACCTGGAAATGTCCCTTATCCAGACCAGAGTGCAGGAAGCAGAGGTAGGAGAGGAAATCATGGAGATTTTCAAATTCCATGTTTCTCCCAGTGCCTGGATTGATTTTCATCCCAACGTTTTCCTGTTGCTGTCCCATGGAAAATCCTCTCCCTCCTGCCCCATTTGTGACTCAAACTCCTGCAAACCAACCCCAAAGAAACCTGGAGCTCTTCCACCTGGAAATTTCCCTTATCCAGCCACTTTGAAGTGCAGGAAGCACAGTTTGGAGAGGAAATCATGGAGAAATTCCAAGTTTATGCCAGCACCTTGTTTGACTTAGATCACCACATTTTCTTGTTGCTGTCCTGTGGAAAATCCTCTCCCTCCTGCCCCATTCCACACTTAAATTCTCTGCAAACCAATCCCAAAACACCCTGGAGTTGTTCCACACTCACAACATGGAAATATCCCTTATCCAGCCACTCTGGAGTGCAGGAAGCAGAGTCAGGAGAGGAAATCATGGAGAAATTCCATGTTTCTCCAAGTACCTGGCTTGATTTTCATCACAATGAGTTTCCTGTTGCTGTTCCATGGAAAATCCTCTCCCTCCTGCCCCTTTTGTGACTCAAACTTCCTACAAACCAATCCCAAAGAAACCTGGAGCTGTTCCAGCTGGAAATTTCCCTCATCCAGACACTTTAGAGTGCAAGAAGCAGAGTTAGGAGAGGAAATCATGGAGATTTTCAAATTCCATGTTTCTCCCAGTACCTGGTTTGATTTTCATCACAATGATTTTCCTCCTTCTTTCCCATGGAAAATCCTCTCCCTCCTGCCCCATTCCACACTCAAACTCACTGCAAACCAATCCCAAAAAACCCTGGAGTTCTTCCACACTCACAACAGGGAAATATCCTTTATGCAGCCCATTTGGAGTGCAGGAAGCAGAGTTAGGAGAGGAGCACAGTCAGGAGAGGAAATCATGGAGAAATTCCATGTTTCTCCCAGTACCTGGCTTGATTTCATCACAATGAGTTTCCTGTTGCTGTCCCATGGAAAATCCTCTCCCTCCTGCCCCATTTGTGACTTACACTCCTGCAAACCAATCCCAAAACACCCTGGAGTTGTTCCACACTCACAACAGGGAAATATCCTTTATCCAGCCACTCTGGAGTGCAGGAAGCAGAGCTGGGATGCAGCTGGAATTCCCAAAAAGCAAAGCAGGGAATCACTCACCTCTCGGGGCAGGATCCTCATGCCTGCAGTGCACAGGATGTACAGAGGAGTCTCCTTGTGCTTGGAGCGGGGCACGTGCTCGGCAGCGAAGCTCAGCAGGGGTGAGATGTAATCACTGACCTTGTCGGGAGAGCTGGCAAACTCCGAAATTCCTGCGAAACACAAAGGTGGGAGAGGAACAGCTGCAACTGCAGCACTGCCTGGGAAACCCTGAGCACAGGTGCTGCGTTTGAGGGGTGCCATGATGAAGGGGGGAATGATGAATCTGAGGCCATGCTCTCAGAAGGCTGATTCATTATTATGACATATTACACTATATTACATTATATTATATTACATTTATATTGTATCATATCATATGACATGATATTATATGACATGATATATTATATTATGCTATATTATATAATATTATATTATATTACATTACATTATATTATATTACATTACATTACATTATATTATATTATATTATATTACATTGCATTATACTACCCTATACTATATCACGTTATATATCACATTATATATAATATCATATTATAACATATATCATATTGTACATCATATCATATTATGCTGTACTAAATTATACTGAAGAACAGTATATTTATCTATTATATGTATATATATAGTATATATAGCATACTAATCATAATATTCAATATTATGATATATATATAGTATATATAGCATACAATTATAGAATATATTATATATACTACCCTATATTATATCCCGTTATATATCACATTATATATAATATCATATTATATCATAATATATCATATCATATTATGCTGTACTAAATTATACTAAAGAACAGTATATTCATCTATTACATGATATATAAAGTATATATAGCATACTAATAATAATATTCATATATTATATGATATATATAGTATATTTAGCAGATATATATAGTATATTTAGCATACAATTATAGAATATATTATGCATCTATAATATATATATAATATACTATTCATACTATATACTATCTATAGAAAGGATACTTACAGAATGTTAAAAAGATAATAATAAAAACTGTTATGTTATGTTATGTTATGTTATGTTATGTTATGTTATGTTATATTATAGAATGCTACACTAAACTATACTAAAGAATAGTATACTATTCATATATTATATTATATATAGTATAAATAGTATATAGTATACTATTATATATTATATATATTATAGCATATTATATATATTATACTATTATATATATATTACATTTATGTTGTATCATATCATATGACATCATATTATATTACATATTATATTATATTATATTATATTATATTATATTACATTACATTACATTATACTACCCTATATTATATACATTATTCTACCCTATATCACACTATATATCACATTATATATAATATCATATTATATCATATAATATCATATTGCATATCATATCATATTATGCTGTATTAAATTATACCAAAGAACAGTATATTCATATATTATATGATATATATAGTATATATAGCATACTAATAATAATATTCATATATTATATGATATATATAGTATATTTAGCATACAATTATAGAATATATTATGCATATATAATATATATATAATATACTATTCATACTATATACTATCTATAGAAAGGATACTTACAGAATGTTAAAAGATAATAATAAAAACTGTTATGTTATGTTATGTTATGTTATGTTATGTTATGGAATGCTACACTAAACTATACTAAAGAACAGTATACTGTTCATATATTATATTATATATAGTATAAATAGTATATAGTATACTATTATATATTATACTATAGTATCCAATATATATTATACTATTATATATATACTATAGTATACAGTATATATATACTATATACTATATATATACCATACTATTATATATGTTATATAGATAATATATATATTTTATATATTATATATTATATAATAGATATATTATACTTTATATAATATATATTTGATATATATTATATATATATTTTTTTCATATATATATATATATATATATATATATATAGTATACTATTCATACTATATATCAATACCACCTTTTCCTGTCCCTGTCCCATGGACAAACCTCTCCCTCCTGCCCCATTTCAGATTTGAGCTCTACAAATATCCCTACGAACCAATCCCAAAGATACCTTCAACTCTTCCACCCTCACAACATGGAAATATCCTTTATCCAGCCACTTTGCAGCGCAGGAATCAAAGTTAGGAGAAAAAATCATGGAGAAATTCCACGTTTTTGCCAGCACCTGGTTTGATTTTCATCACCACGGGTTTCCTGGAGCTGTCCCTCATCTGCTGGATGTCCAGCAGGTCCTTGGGGTTGCCGTTGTGCCGGGGCCAGCAGTACACAAACACCCTGGAGCCGCTGCTGCCGCAGTCCACCACGATGCCGTAGCTCAGGTTGGGGTTCCCGGTGTCCGTGGCCTCCGTGTCCCTCACCCTGGCCAGGTACCTGGGCAAAATGGGGATTGCTGCAGGGAATTTGGCTCCCTGTGTGTCAGAACCCAGGAAATCCCTCTGGATGCCCTGGGTGATTCCAGACCCTGGCACGGGACTCAGAGACCTTGGCACGGAGTCACAAACACCTGTGCCTTTGATTTCAGCCCGTGGAAACAATTGCCAACTTTGTGTGAGGAGTTACAAGCCACAAGGGTTTGAGTAGAATGACAGTGAATTTGTCACAGGGTGAAAAGGTAGAATTTTGGGGTTTTTAGAATGGGGGTTCAAGAGGCAAGATGGGGGAAACTGGACATGTCCTGTCCTCCTTCTTCTTGTCCTCCATCCTCTGCTGGGATGGTGGCACTTTTGGATTGGTTTAGAGCAGAGACAGACTGTCTAACACGGGTGATAGGTATTGGAAGATTATTGTAAATAAAGCACAGGTAGTTCTTAGTATAAAAAGGCAACACCACCCCAAGGGCAGGCACTGTGCCACAACCCGACCTGCTGGACAGATCTCAGCAGGTCAGAGAAAGAATGGAATAGAGAAGAGAAAATAACCTTGAGAATGAGAGCCAGCTCCTGTGGAAGCTCCTGTCCCAGGTTCTGCTGGACTTGCTGTGGATCAGGAGCAGAGCAGCGTTTCCCCTTTCCTCAAAGCTCCATTTCATACTTTTCCATGGAATTCTTTCCTTTTTTCCAGGGAATTCTCTCCCTCTTTTCCCATGGAATTCCCTCTCTTTTACCTCTGCAATCTCCCATCCCAGGCTCGGCCATACTTGCTGCGGATCGGGAGCCAGGACACCTGTGACTGTTCCTCCTTTCCTCCAAGCTCCACTCCCTGATTTCCATGGAATTCTTTCCTCCATTCCCCCAGGCTCCACTTCCTGTTTTTCACTGAAATCTTTCCCTCTTTTCCAGGGAATTCTTTCCCTCTTTTCCAAGGAATTCCCTCCCTCATCTGTGGAATCTCCCATCCCACACTCAGCTCTACTTGCTGGAATCAGGAGCAGAGAGCAGAGCAGAATTTCCCTTTTCCCCAGAGCTCCATTTCCTGATTCCCATGGGATTCTGTGCCCCCTCACCTGTGGAATCTCCCATTCCAGGCTCAGTAATTCCCACAGCTCAGGAGCAGAGCAGCATTTCCCCTCTCTCCCAGGCTCCATTCCCTGATTCCCACGGAATTCCCTCCCCTCTTACCTGTGGAATCTCCTGTACATCCTGTGGATCAGGAGCAGAGCAGCCTTTCCCCATTCCCCCAAAGCTCCATTTCCATTTTCATGGATTCCCTCCCCTCTCACCTCTGGAATCTCCCATTCCAGGCTCAGTATTCCAGCGGATCAGCAGCAGAGACACCTCTAAGTGTTCCCCTTTTCCTCCAGGCTCCATTCCCGGTTTTCCATGGAATTCCCTCCCCTCTCACCTGTGGAATCTCCTGTACTTCCAGTGGATCAGGAGCAGAGCAGCATTTCCCCATTCCCTCCATTCCCAAGGATTCCCTGCTCTCTCACCTCTGGAATTTCCTGTCACAGTGCCTGCCCTGCATCACCAGCAGGGAGCAGAGCAGCATTTCCCCATTCCCATTCCCTGTTTTCCATGGATTCCCTGCTCTCTCACCTGTGGAATTTCCCATCCCAGTGCTTGCCCCGCACCACCAGCAGGGAGCAGGGCAGCGTTTCCCTATTCCCATGGAATTCTCTCCCTCGCACCTGTGGAATTTCCTGTCCCAGTGCTTGCCCCGCACCAGCAGCAGGGAGCAGAGCAGCATTTCCCCATTCCCATTCCCTGTTTTCCATGGATTCCCTGCTCTCTCACCTGTGAAATTTCCCATTCCGGTTCCTGCCCCGCACCACCAGCAGGGAGCAGAGCAGCGTTTCCCCCTTCCCCCAGGTTCCATTTCCTCATTTCCATGGATTCCCTGCCCTCTCACCTGTGGAATTTCCCATCCCGGTTCCTGCCCCGCACCACCAGCAGGGAGCAGAGCAGCATTTCCCCATTCCCATTCCCCGTTTTCCATGGAATTTCCTCTCCTCACCTGTGGAATTTCCCATCCCGGTTCCTGCCCCGCACCACCAGCAGGGAGCAGAGCAGCGTTTCCCCCTTCCCCCAGGTTCCATTTCCTCATTTCCATGGATTCCCTGCCCTCTCACCTGTGGAATTTCCCATCCCGGTTCCTGCCCCGCACCACCAGCAGGGAGCAGAGCAGCAGCGCCGCCGCGGCCGCGGCCGCCCCCAGGAGCAGCAGCTGCCGCAGGGACGCGTTCAGGACGCGGGGACAGCCCAAGGGAGAGAGGCTGAAGTGCCACGAGGCCGGGAGCAGGCACGAGATGCTGATCCTGGAACGCCGAGGGAGAAACGAGCGGATTGAGGGATGGATTTGGTGCTAAAAGCAGGGAAAATTCCTGCCTGGAGGGTGGGGAGGGGCTGGGATGGGATTCTGAGGTGTGGGAGTGCCTGGGAGTGAGGCTGAGGAGGATGGGAGGATCCCATGGGATTTGCTGGGTTTGGGGCTGGAGCTCCCTTTTGTCTCCTGGCTTTCTTTCGAAATTTCAGGAAAATCAGAGGCAGGAAGGAGGGAAAAGCCTGGCTTGGGATTCAGAGAATCGAAATCTGGGGATGATCCTGGAGAAATCTGGGAGGACCTCAGGGCAGTTCCCCAGGGCCTGAAGGGGCTCCAGGAGAGCTGGAAAGGGACAAAGGATGGAGGGATGGGACACAGGGAATGGCTCCCAGTGCCACAGGGCAGGAATGGATGGGATACTGGGGAGGAATTCCTGCCTGGGAGGGTGAGGAGGGGCTGGGATGGAATTCCCAGGGAGCTGTGGCAGCCCCTGGATCCCTGGCAGTGCCCAAGGCCAGGCTGGAGCAATCTGGGGCAGTGGGAGCTGTCCCTGCCATGGCAGGGATGGGATGATCCTTATGGCCCTTTCCAACCCAACCCAACCGACTCCAGGATTTTGCTGTGGATTGAGAGGACTCAGGACACCATTCCCATGCTGGAATTCCTGATTAGGTTCCCTGTCCTTCCCTCCAAACCCTTCCCAGGTTATCCCACAGTTCCTCTGGGATCCTTACCTGCCCATTTTGGGATGGGGCAGCAGCAGGAGCTGTGGAGCCTCAGCCGGTGACCTCGGAGGGACCAGGAACAGCCGAGCTCCCCTGGGCCATCCCTGCTCTGCTCCTGAGGGGAAAGCACGGCAGCTGATTCCCTGGGACATCCCTGAGGGAGCTGCTTCCCTTCCCTTCCCTTCCCTTCCCTTCCCTTCCCTTCCCAGAACATTCCCTTCCCTTCCCTTCCCTTCCCTTCCCTTCCCTTCCCTTCCCAGAACATTCCCTTCCCTTCCCTTCCCTTCCCTTCCCTTCACTTCCCTTCCCTTCCCTTCCCTTCCCTTCCCTTCCCAGAACCTTCCCTTCCCTTCCCCGGGTAAGGAATTCAGGAATCCAAAGGAAAACAGGGATCCAGAGGGGATGGAAGCACTGAATGCCCTCGGGCTGGGCTGGGATTCCCAGAGGAGCCTGGGCTGCCCCTGGATCCTGGGAGGTGCCAGGCTTGGGGCTCGATGGGATTTCAGGTCCTGTTTCAGATCCTGTTTCAGGTCATTCCCAGCCAAAGCATCCCGGGATTCCGGGACCCCAAGCACCAGCAGAACTCCCAAAGAGCCAAGGAAATGCGGGAATTCAGCCCGGGGACGCAGCCGGGGCTGTCCGTCCTTTCCCGCCCCAGGGGACAGCCCGAGCCAGGGAGCGGAGCCGGGGGGGACAGAGAACGGCGGGGCGGGGGAACAAAGGGGTGAGGGAAAGGGATGGGGAAAAACGGGATGGGAGAACACCGGGACGGGGGGATAACGGGATGGGGGAACACCGGGACGGGGGGATAACGGGATGGGGGAACAACGGTGCGAGGGAATGGGATGAAGGGAACGGGAAGAGGGAAAGGGATGGGAAAACGGGATGAGGGAATGGGATGGAGGCAAGGACAAGGGATGGGGAAGGGACACGGAGCGGAATGAGCTGCTCCAGGTCCCCAAGGCCGCCACCATCCCGCACGGCTCGGCTCGGCTCCCCCCGAACCCCACGGCGATCCCGGTCCCGGCCCCTGACCCATTGCCGGTCCCGATCCCATTCCAGATCCCGGTCCCGTCCCCATTCCCGTTCCCGTCCCCATTCCCGTTCCCGTCCCCATTCCCCGTCCCCATCCCCGTCCCCATCCCCATTCCCATTCCCGTCCCCGTCCCCATCCCCATCCCCGTCCCCATCCCCATCCCCATCCCCATCCCCGTCCCCATCCCCGTCCCCATCCCCATTCCCATTCCCATTCCCGTCCCCGTCCCCATCCCCGTTCCCATCCCCATCCCCATTCCCATTCCCATTCCCATCCCCATTCCCATTCCCATCCCCATCCCCATCCCCTTCCCCATCCCCATTCCCGGTGTTTCCCCCCTCCCCCCTTCTCTCTCTCCCCCAACTTCACCTCCTGGGCCGCCCCATGGCAACCGGCCCCACGCCACTTCCGGGTGCGCCGCCGGACGTGACGCAGAGCGCGCTGACGTCACGGTAGGGCCGAGAGGGGATTCCCCGGGGGCGTGGCTTGGGGGCGTGGTCACGGCTGAGGGGGCGTGGCCAGGAGGAGCTGGGTGCCCTGCCGGTAAAACCGGGCGGAAATCGCTATAGAAACAGTTAACGGCACAAATAGGAATCTGTGGGTAAAAATATGCCAAAATTGAGAAATATATAAAATTTCTAGCTATCAATGTGTCAATATTTTGAAATATATAAAATCTATAGCTAAGAATGTGTCAATATTTTGAAATATATAAAATCTATAGCTAAGAATGTGTCAATATTTTGAAATATATTACATTCATAGCTATAATTTTGAAATATATAAAATTTATAGCCATAAATGTGTTACTATTTTGAAATATATAAAATTTATAGCTATGTATTACTATTTTGAAATATGTAAAATTTATAGCTATAAATGCGTCAATATTTTGAAATATATTAAATTCATAGCTATAACTGTGTCAATATTTTTAAATATATAAAATTTATAGCTAAAAATGTGTCAATATTTTGAAATATATTAAATTTATAGATATAACTGCCAATATTTTGAAATATATAAAATCTATAGCTAAAAATGTGTCAATATTTTGATATATAAAAATATATAGCTATGAATGTGTCAATACTTTGAAATACAATAAATTTTTAGCTATAAATGTGTTACTATTTTGAAATATATAAAATTTATAGCTATGTATTGCTATTTTGAAATATATAAAATTTATAGTTATAAATGCGTCAATATTTTGAAATATATTAAATTTATACTTATAAATGTGTCAATATTATGAAATATATAAAATCTATAGCTATAACTGTGTCAATATTTTGAAATATATTAAATTCATAGCTATAACTGTGTCAATATTTTGAAATATATAAAATTTATAGCTATAAATGCCAATATTTTGAAATATATAAAATCTATAGCTAAAAATGTGTCAATATTTTGATATATAAAAATATATAGCTATGAATGTGTCAATACTTTGAAATACAATAAATTTTTAGCTATAAATGTGTTACTATTTTGAAGTATATAAAATTTATATTTTAAATGTGTCAATATTTTCAAATATATAAAAACATAGCTTTAAATGTGTCAATATTTTGAAATATATTAAGTCTATAGCTATAAACATGTCAATATTTTCAAATATATTAAATTTATAGCGATAAAAGCGTCAGTGTTTTGAAATAAACTTATACATGTGTAAACATTTTGAAATATATTAAATTTATGTCTATAACTGTGCCAATATTTTGAAATAAACTTATACATGTGTCAATATTTTGGAGTAAATTCAATTTACATCTATCACTATGCAAATATTTTGAATTATATTGTTACATATATCCAATGGTTGTAGCAGCTGTAATAAATATCTCAATATTTAGGATCTAACGAATAAATACATTAATTTTATTTAAAAAAACCGGCAAGGAAGGGGAGGAAATTCCATGGGGAGAAGGGGAATTCTGCGTTTTGCCACTGAGCGGCAGCACCGCCTGTGCCCGCTCCGGGATCCTCCGGAGAAATGGAAAAGTTTCTCCTGGGCAGGATGAGGTGGAAAAAATGGGAATAAAATCGGGAATTTGCAGGGAAAGCGGGGCTGGGGGTGGAGAGGAATTTGGGTGGGAAATTATCCCAGGGAGGGGAGGGAATGAGGGAAAAGGGAAGGAATAAGGAAAGAAAAGGGAATAAGGGAAAGGAAAAATTGAAGGAATAAGGAAAGGGGAAAGTTTAAAAGATAAAGGAATGGGGAATGGAATAAGGGAAAGAATAAGGAAAAGGAAAGAATAAGGAAAGGAGAAAGGAAAATTGAAAAGAGAAGGGAAAGGGGAAAGGAATAAGGAAAATAAAAGGGAAGGGGAAAGGAAAAAGAGAAGACAAAAAAGGGGAGAAAGGAAAGGGGAAAGGAAAAAGGAAAAGATAGGAAAGGAAAAAGTGAAGGGGAAAGGAAAAAGGGATGGAATGAGGAAAGGAAAAAAGGAATAAGGAAAGGAGAAAGGAAAGTTGAAAAGAAAAGGGAAAGGGGAATGGAATAAGGAAAAGAAAAGGGAAGGGGAAAGGAAAAAGAGAAGACAAAAAAGGGGAATGGAATAAGGAAAGGAGAATGGAAAGGGGAAAGGAATAAGGAATAAGGAAAAGGAAAAATAAAAGGAATAAGGAAAGGGGAAAGGAAAGGGGAAAGGAATACGGAATAAGGAATAGGGAAGGGGGGAAGGAAAAAGGGGAATGGAAAAAGGAAAGGTAAAAGGAAAGGAGAAAGGAATAAGGAAAAGAAAAATAAAAGGAATAAGGAAAGGGGAAAGGAAAAAGGAAAAGATAGGAAAGAAAAAAGTGAAGGGGAAGGGAAAAAGGGATGGAATGAGGAAAGGAAAAAATGAAGGGGAAAGGAGAAATGAAAGTTGAAAAGAGAAGGGAAAGGGGAAAGGAATAAGGAAAAGAAAAGGGAAGGGGAAAGGAAAAAGGGAAGGAATAAGGAAAGGGAAAAGGAAAGTTGAAAAGAGAAAGGAAAGGGGAATGGAATAAGGAAAAGAAAAGGGAAGGGGAAAGGGAAAAGAAAAGGAAAAAAAGGGGAACGGAATAAGGAAAGGGAAAAGAAAAGGAATAAGGAAAGGGGGAAGGAAAAAGGGAAGGAATAGGAAAAGGAAAGAAAAGGGATAAGGAAAGGAGAAAGGAAAGTTGAAAAGAGAAAGGAAAGGGGAAGAGGAAAGGAAAAAGAGAAGGGAAAAAGGGAATGGAGTAAGGGAAGGAATAAGGCAAGGGGAAAGGAAAAAAATGAAGGAAAAAGGAAAAGGAAAAGGAAGGAATAAGGAAAGGGGAAAGGAAAGTTGAAAGGGGAATGGAACGAGGAAAAGACAAAGGAAGGGGAAAGGAAAAGGAAGGAAAAAAAAGGGGAATGGAATAAGGAAAAGGAGAAAGGAGAGGAATGATGAAAGGAAAAAGGGATGGAATAAGGAAAGGAAAAAAGGAAGGGGAAAGGAGAAATGAAAGTTGAAAAGAGAAGGGAAAGGGAAATGGAATAAGGAAAAGAAAAGGGAAGGGGAAAGGAAAAAGAGAAGGAAAAAAAGGGGAACGGAATAAGGAAAGGAAAGAGGAAAGGAAAGGTGAAGAGAGAAAGGGGAAAGGAATAAGGAAAGGGGAAAGGAAAAAGGGAATGGGAAAGGAGAAATTGAAGGAATAAGGAAAGGGAAAAAGGAAGGGGAAAGGAATAAGGAAAGGAGAAAGGAAAGTTGAAAAGAGAAGGGAAAGGGGAAAGGAATAAGGAATAAAGAAACGGGAAAGGAATAAAGAAAAGAAAAGGGAAGGGCAAAGGAAAAAGAGAAGGAAAAAGGGAAGGGGAAAGGAAAAAGGAAAGTTGAAAAGAGAAGGGAAAGGGGAATGGAATAAGGAAAAGGAAAGGGAAAGGAAAAGGAAAAAGATAAGGAAAAAGGGAATGGAATAAGGAAATGGAAGGGGAAAGGAAAGGTGAAGAGAGAAAGGAAGGGAAAGGAAAATAAAAGGAATAAAGAAAGGGGAAAGGAATATGGAAAAGGGAAGGGGGAAGGAAAAAGAAAGGGGAACAGAATAAGGGAAGGAAAAGGAAAGGTGAAGAGAGAAAGGGGAAAGGAAAAAGTGAATGGGAAAGGGGAAATGGAAGGAATAAGGGAAGGAAAAAAGGAAGGGAAAGGAATAAGGAAAGGAGAAATGAAAGTTGAAAAGAGAAGGGAAAGGGGAATGGAATAAGGAAAAGAAAAAGGAAGGGGAAAGGAAAAAGAGAAGGAAAAAGGAAAAGGGAAAGGAATAAGGAAAGGAGAAGGAAAAAGGGAAGGAGTGGAACGGAACAAGGCCAAGGTCTCTCAGCCCCCAGTGGCGCTGCCCAACTGCGGCAGGAGGAGTTTGCCCAACCCCACCCAGGGCAATGCGGGACAGCCGGGGCCGATCCGGGCTGGGCACGGCGGGGTGGGGGGAGCAGCGTTTGGGGTTTCTGCGAGGGGGAATCACCCCTGGGACACGGCCGGGCCATTGCTGTGCCCTCATGGGCTCCCTGGGCACGGCCAGGCCATTGCTGTGCCTCACGGGCTCCCCTGGGACAAGGCCGGGCCACTGCTGTGCCCTCACGGGCTCCCCTGGGACACGGCCGGGCCACTGCTGTGCCCTCACGGGCTCCCTTGGGCACGGCCAGGCCCCTGCTGTGCCCTCACGGGCTCCCCTGGGACAAGGCCGGGCCACTGTTGTGCCCTCACGGGCTCCCTTGGGACACGGCCCGGCCACTGCTGTGCCCTCACGGGCTCCCTTGGGCACGGCCAGGCCACTGCTGTGCCCTCACGGCCTCCCCGGGACACGGCCAGGCCCCTGCTGTGCCCTCACGGGCTCCCCTGGGACACGGCCAGGCCATTGCTGTGCCCCACAGGCTCCCCTGGGCACGGCCAGGCCAGGCCACTGCCGTGCCCTCATGGGCTCCCTGGGCACGGCCAGGCCATTGCTGTGCCCTCACGGGCTCCCCTGGGACACGGCCAGGCCAGGCCATTGCTGTGCCCTCACGGGCTCCCCTGGGACACGGCCAGGCCAGGCCATTGCTGTGCCCTCACGGGCTCCCCGGGACACGGCCAGGCCATTGCTGTGCCCTCACAGGCTCCCCGGGACACGGCCGGGCCACTGCTGTGCCCTCACGGGCTCCCTTGGGCACGGCCAGGCCACTGCTGTGCCCTCAAGGGCTCCCCTGGGCACAGCTAGGCCACTGCTGTGCCCTCCCGGCTCCCCTGGGACACGGCCGGGCCATTGCTGTGCCCTCACGGGCTCTCTTGGGCACGGCCAGGCCACTGCCGTGCCCTCACGGCTCCCCTGGGCACGGCCAGGCCATTGCTATGCCCCACAGGCTCCCTGGGACACGGCCAGACCAGGTCACTGCTGTGCCCTCACGGGCTTTCCAGGACACGGCCAGGCCCCTGCTGTGCCCTCACAGGCTCCCCTGGGCAC